ACAAATACGTCTTAGCAACAGGAACATAAAAGAGAGTCAATTGAAGTTATTTTCTTCTTTATCCGAGTTATGTCTTCGCTAACATCTCTTGTTCCATTTGACTGGTTCGAAATTCATAGTAGTTCTCGTTCACCTCAGTTACGTGTCGGCCATTCGAGCACATTCGTTCCTTCGTCTTCAACTGTCTATGTTCTTGGTGGAGCGAATCCATCGGAATGTTTTGCAGATGTTCATTCACTTGCACTTCCATCCAAAACATCGGAAACATTTCTTTGGACGAAATTACTGGCTGAAGATCCGGCACTTCGACGTTATGAACATTCTGCTGTTTTATCTACAGAAAATCCGGATCAAGTCGTTTTCTTCGGTGGTGCTGATACAGAAAATAATCACAATGATGTTCATGTGTTTAATATTTCAACGAAAACAATCGAAAATTGGACACCGAAAGATAATAAACTAGTATCACCACGAACTCATCATTCAAGTTGTTGTGTTCAACATGGTTTGTATATATTCAGCGGTGGTTTTCAAGGAGTCAAATCAGTAGATGACTCTGAGTTATATCGTTTTGATTTAGGTAATTCTTTCGTCCAGAAGAAAAATAGATTCCGATATTAATCATGTGTTGTTTCTAGTTTCCAAAACATGGTCGTGTGTTCCAGCACATGGATCACCGCCTGAGCAGCGTCATGGTCACTGTTTGTTATCACTTGACAATGCGCGTCTCTACCTTCACGGTGGTATGGACGGACGAACATTTTTTTCATCACTCTATTCTATTGATCTAACTCAAAAGCCGCCCAGATGGAACGAACATCGTTCGTCGTCGTCTTGTCCCATGGCACGTGCAGCACATGGTGGTGTTTCCATTGAAATAACATCAACATTATTCATCTTTGGTGGATTATCACGAAGTGGTCAAGCACTTAACGACACATGGTCGTGGTCGACGAAGAGTGAACAGTGGACTGAGATCATCTGTCGAAATGTGCCCAAAGCAAGACTGGATTTTGCATATTGTCTTATCGAATGTAAAGATAAGGAGGAAGATTCCGAAAAAAGCATACCGATGATGTTTGTTCACGGAGGAACTGACACACAGGGAGAAGTTTTTGATGACTGTTTTTTATTACGGTTAACATTTGATAGCGATCAATAAAACTTTTGTTGTAGTCAATAAACTCTGTAGTTCCGTTCAAGAGTATATATTGTACTTATATACTTTCACGATAATTCGCACACGTCAGCGCCATCTATAAATATTTGTCCGGCTGAAGTTCTGTGGCCAATACTTAAACTGCACAATTTTTGAATCTAGGTAGTTATTTGATTTTCGTTTATTTGTCCTAAATGTCTTCGGTATTGTTTGAAAGTGTTTTCATGATATTTGTCTTAATTTAAGTCACAAATTACTTCTACACAGTTATAGTTCATGTGGAGGCGATCGTTAAAGAGTGGCTTACTGTCGCTGATGGCTTTCGTTGAACGATCCACAATCATCAGATTCGCTTCTAATATCGGCGATCGATTGAAGAAGTTGAACGAAAGCAAACAATTCCAACGGACACTTCAACTGTTTCATCAACATCAAAAAAACAATAATGAAATTCTGTCCAGTTTAACGATCACACAAGCTCTGAAGGCGTGTACTCATCTAAAAGATATTCAACGTGGCAAAGCGATTCATGATCTTGTTTCATCACGCACCAAAGATGATCATTACATAGTGACATCACTCATCCATATGTACAGTGAGTTCCATCAATCTATCCTCCATCGCATTTTGCCTCTTCACATAGTGCAATGCGGTGATATTCGAAGTGCTGAAACATTATTTGATAACACGAAAACAAAAGTTCCATCTATGTACGGTGCGATGATGAAAGGTAACTTGTTTCATTGTGCAAGAAAGTATAAAATAGAACAACTTCTTGTAGGATATCTGACAAACAACGAAGCACAGAAAGCATTCGAAGTTTTTCATCAAATCAAAACACCGAGTGAGGTGAATCTCGTTGTATTCTTCCAAGTTTGTGCCAATCTGAAGACCCAACAAGCATTGGACGCGTTGAAAAAGGTGTTACTAAAAGAGGAAAACTCTTTCCAGTCCAATTATCGTCTTGCAACATCATCAGTAAATGCATTGGTGGAATGTGGAGATGTTGCACGTGCGGAGAAGATATTCGACAAAATAAAAGGAAAGCAACTTCCTATCTACGGTGCAATGATGAAAGGTAGATATGTTTTATACCCGTGTGGATTGAATTGAGTTGCTCTGTAGGTTACGTTGCGACTAATCAAGCTGAAAAAGCGATTGCTCTTTTCAAACAGATCGAAGGTCCTAATGATATCATAGTCAATCTTCTCCTCAATGCGTGTGCGCAATTATGAACGACGGAAGCTTTAAGTTTAGTTAAATAGACTTACAACAGCATGTCATCGTCATTTTATTCAAATGACTATGTAACCACTTCTTTGCTAGATGCACTGATCAAATGTGGAGATACGTCCACTGCGACGGTCGTTATCTCCAAAATGAGAAGATCGGCGATCGACTACGTAAATCTTATGACTGGATTCAACGACCAAAAAGAAGGAGAACAAACAATGAAATTGTTTTATCAAATGAAGCGTGAAGGTCTAGAGCCAGAGATGATCACTTACTTGTGTGTTATCAAAACATTAGCACTCATCGGTGATCTTTCACTTATCGAACCAACAATCAAGCAAATACCTCAATCGATTCTTTTTGGTAATCAGATTCGTGATGCTTTGATTGATATGTGGGTAAGACAGAGATCATTTCGTGTGTTTTGTGGTAAATGGATCGCTTCCGTGGGGTAAAACTGGCTGTGTCGACAAAGCACAAGCCATGCATGCGAACATTTCCCAACCAGACGCATTTACATATACATCCAGATTATTACGGCACGGTCGGTTCCGGCCGGTTAGGGTTGTTTTCCGACCATTTTCTTGCCGCCGGAAGTTCAAACGTAGGTTTCAGTAATTTCCCGGCCGTTTCCTGCAAAATTCGAGCTGAAAACGGTCAGGAACCTGCCGGAACTTGCTGGAATCGACGAAAACTGTGCCGGAATCGAGAAGAGCTGTACCGGAACCGACTCAGATTTCAACGGGTCCAGTCGCCGGAATGATCGACCTGGGCAGCAATGAGTATGCATCTTTTATTCTGTGCTTATGTCAATCAAGATGTTGAATATTGTGGTTATTCGTAGTTAACTCTTATGGTCTCAGTGGAATGGATATGCAAACTCTTGAACTGTTCGCTCGAATGCCAAAACAGATCATTCATGAAGTGACTTATATTTGCATACTAAACGCATGTTCACACTCTGGTCTTGTTGATGAAGCTCGCTCTATCTTTCAAAACATCCAAATGAAAACACCGAAAGTGTGGACATCTATGGTATATTTACAAACAAGATTGTCGATACAGACAATGGAACTGCTCAATCACCTCTGCTTTTCGTGTAGGTTGATTGCCTTGCTCGTGCATCTTTGTTCGATGAAGCACAGGCGTTGATCGATGGATTCGAACGTTCGCATACACCCGTCGTAGATATGCACAGTGAGTGTCATCCTTTGAGATAATTCCTCCACTAAAGGACAACAGCATGACTGAAATCAACAAATTGATTGGATTTATGTTCATTTGTTTTAGTGGCGTTGTTATCGGGTGCAAGAAATGACAAAAATGCTCAGCTAGCACAGAATATCTGTGATCGACTGAAGAGATTGTTTCCATCCACGAAAGATTCCTTGACAGCAGCTGAAGTTCTTCTTGCAAACACTTACGCATCGTCTGGTGACATTGGGAAGGCATCAGATATTCGAATTCAACTCACCAAATCCGGAGCAAAGAAGAAGATCGGGACATCAACGACTGTAGTTGATGGAGAAATTTATGTAAGTTCAAACACAACTTACGATGTCTTGTTTGAAGCAATATGAACTGATTTGATTGTAGGAATTTCGTGCTCATGATAGATCTCATCCGCGATCAGACGAAATTTATCGTGAAGTGCAGAAAATGTCAGAAGAATTAATCGCACATGACCATGAGTACGATTCCAGTTGGATAACGCGAACGATGGGTGAAGACGAAAGTGTCGAATCGGTTCTCTGTGGTCATAGTGAGCGACTTGCGATGGCATGGAATTTCGTGACTAATCCTCACGCGAAAAGAATTCAAATCACGAAGAACTTGAGAGTGTGTGGCGATTGTCGTACAGCGATTCGTCAATGTGAAATAATTGTTCGAGATGCGAATCGAATTCATCACTTTCACAAAAATGGTCAATGTTCGTGTAACGATTATTTCTGAAATCTTTTCGTTTTTTTGTCGATTAAATGGAACCGAGTTGAAAATAAAATGTTAAAACCTTTCGAGGATGTGCAATGATTACATATTCGTCTCTCCAGAGATGATAAACACCGTCTATCGGTATTTGGTCTTATGGCACACATGCGTAACACCTGGTGATGCTTCGATTGAAAATATAGCATCGTACAGTAACACACACGGAAGGAGAAGCTTTCATATAACTGTGTGTCTTTTAATACGGTTGACAATACTTGAGCGCCATCTATAAACATTTGTTGATGAAAATTGCTTTATAACCAATAATGAAAGTCGAGAGTTTCTTGAATGTTTATTTGCGTTACTGATCATCGTCATCATCATTATCATTGAATTCTGGTTGAGAAATGGATGATACAACACGTCTAACAAGCGAACAATCGATTAAATTATTTATTCAACGTGACTATTCCGAGGGTACAGCTGTTAAATTTCAAGAACGTTTTCCCTCTGAGCTCGAAGGAAAAGTAAATCGAGGTTTTTTTTGTTTTCTTTGTCCTATCTTATCCGAATTCTCCTTCAGATTGATCGTGGAAAATTCATCGATATCATTCGTCACATCAATTCAATTTTTGAAGAAGCAGAAGCACTCTCATGTAAAACATTTACGGAAAACTGTTGTGCGTGTTTAACAGGTTATTTATTATTACTTTGTATGCCAACACATTACGAAAAAGTAACTGATTTTTATCTGAATTTCAACTTATCAATGAGGATTTTTAGTGTGTGAAACGCGCGGCACGATACATCTCAGAAGAGAATGAACGCACATTGAATCCGAAAGGGATATTCATGTTAGATCCCATGGAAAAAGGACTTCGTTGTGTAAGTATTTGTATTAATCGAAAGAATTATCCAGTCGGATAATGTCATTTAGATTGAAGTATGTATCACAAATAATCGTCGATGAGACTCAATTCAATGATTAATAATTAGGGAAACATATCTCCTCAGATTCGGCTACAACAGACGTGAATGTTCTTGTTTTTAATCACAGACAGTTTATCTAAAACTTCATTGTACGGAAAAATTCTTTTCTCTTCGGATTGTTTTCTTTTTCATGTATATAATAATAGAGGAAAATATATTTCAATATAATTATCTACTTTTCTCATTGAAGTCAACAGACGCCATCACATGATTAAGCTAAAAATAAACTTGAAGAAAATCTGTTCGTAAATAAATCAATTCGCTCGGATAATTTCGACATGAAACTTGGTATTTAATTAAACTTTTCTCCATTGACCTATTTCAAATAATTACTATTATCCTAAAGAGATTTTTACATTAATTATTATTCGAAATTTTCCTTTGAGGACATTCATTCTCGGCATTGGCATTTCAGGTAGTTATTATGAAGGAATCCATGCATTACCATTAGATAATGACAAAATGCATTCTAAATAATACCGTTGACGTCGAATAGATATGTTGAGAGAAATGAAAGACTAATTGAAATAAAAGGGTAAGGCTCAGTAGCCCACATCAAGTCAACGGAGAATGTTTCATGTTGAAAGGAAGTAACTTATTAGCGGAATGAATCTCATCGCTTCCTCTTCGGTCTACATTTGATTACACGATCCAAAATTTGATCTAAAAGGCAAGGAGACAAGAAAGAAAGAGATAGGGAAAAAGAAGAATGTACCTTACTCATAAGCACCCCTCGTGTAAGTCAATGTCGCCATTGACTGTTTGCATAACTCTATTTGCAACGATATCACATTCACTAAATACAGATAAAATTATTAACTCTGAGAAGATTCTCATCTTGGTCAAATAATCATATCTATTGTATTTAGCATATAAACATGATAGATCTTTGAGAAAAGATCGGATAGTTGCTATCCTTGGGTTCGGGGACTTTCCCTCGAGTATCGATCAAATTCTGAAAACAAAATTCGATCGACGTTGAGAGTGATCGGAAACGACACTCGTATGTAACTCGAACAGCAAACGTGTAAGATACATCGAGGTTTACAGTGCTTTTTCATCGATTTATATTGATATGTGGATAAAAGAAAAGAAAAACGGTGAATGAGTTGCATCGATTGGCAAATACAGTGCGACATCTCTCGTTTGCGAACATTTTTTAATCAGAAATCTACTAAATGAGATTTCGTTCATTTATTAATGACGTTTCATCTGGATAATTTCGACGTCGTCAGACCTGTGAACGTATTCCGTTAAGTAAAGAAATATTCTTGTTTCATGTTTGATGTCACCAGGGCAGATGTCAATATTCCATCTGTCTTTAGGCGAAAAGCACGGTGAAAAAATGAAGATGAACAAGTAGAATTACATTTCTATATCTTGGGAGAAAAGAAAAGAAAAAAGAAGAAGAAGTAGAAGAAAGAACACAAGCAATAGAACGGAAATTGAAAGTCTTCTCTTCTCCCGCTATCAAGTCCATACGATGTATTTTAATCGAACTAGGTGAAGAAAAAAAAATAACTAGAAAAGATTTTCTATCCATCATCTCATTTCTTTTGTCTTTTGAATAAATATTCCAATGTGTGCATGTTATGTACTCCAAGCATCATCATCCATTCGAAGTACTTATCGTTTTGTAAGTATCTTATTATTAATACTTTTGAGTTTTACACAAAATTTCATCGACTATGATTTCTCTAATCCAACGCAAAGGATAAGAGCCTGCTTTTTTGCTCTTGATTAATTCTTTATTGATATTAAGTCTCGTTGTACTCGTTCAATGGACAAAGATGATTGTTCAACTGTGTATAAAAGTACAAAATGCGATAGACATTGTTCGCTATCATCAGGGATTGAATCTTCTGTGAAGTATTCATTTGAATAGATCTTTAGGAAATCGAAATCTCTTGGATTGTCCCATGAAGCAAAAAAAAACTGAACTGATTCAATCAATTAATTGTCAATTATACTGAAAAATCATCTGAAGTATTTCCTGTTATGAAATACTCGAATGAGAAAAATACCGAAACAAATTAAAGTGGAAAAAGTATAGAAATATCGTTTTATGGGTGAAGAAAAAGAACGGGAAATTAATATTAACACGCAAGACATTTCTATCTATGTCATTCTCTACCGAAATGAAATGATTACCAAAGGGAGATACTGACAAATAAGCTTCATTGTAATTAGTCTTCTTTTTTCTCTCCGAATTATTATTAAAGTTGATCTAATTGATAATGGAACAGAGAAGATTGAAAGAAATTAGATAAAAGACACGCAGATGTGCGTGTGTGTCTGTATTTAACTAGTTTATTGAATTGTTCGACCGATAAACATCGATGTGATGAAGATAGTCACACGTCTTTCGCACATCCTCGCATACATTAATAGACAAAGGAAAACGGTTATGATCATTCCATTCCCGGACGCTTCATGTTCGCCTAAAGAAACCTTTCCTATTGGTGTTAGTGCTTTTATATATAGCTGTTTCTTAGAAAAGAAGAAACTTCTCTTCTCTATGTCTGTCAGTACGGCGAATGTCGGCGTAATTATTTTTCTTGACTTCATCTAGTTTTTTTCCCGCTGTTTCTCATATTCTTATCTATTTCTTTGCTTCCCTGTATTTTTATATGTCGAAATAGTGACTATTGTTTGAAAAAACACCTACTTGCCGATGGTAACGAACGCGATGATGCGAGAATATGTAACGCTCATGTTCGTGACATAACTTACCCAAGCATTTGACGCGAGCTCAGGTGTGTTGATCATATTCCTCATAAACATGTCTTATTGCCCAAGAATATTCTCTCCTTGGTAACAAGTATTAATTAGTTTGTTTAACGGCTTAATCGTTCACGAATTCATCACAATAAATATTCATTTCAATATGGAAAAAACGCCTCCATCGCCATCGCCGTCATCCTCGAGTACGAAACGTTCATTTCAACGTAAAAAACTCCAGTATCAAGAGCGTATTACCGAACAGTCACCATCGTCATCATTTCCAACGATAACAACACTAATGCCGACGTATTTAACAACCGATAGTATTCGAAAAGTCTCCCCAACTAACATTTTATCCAACTTGTCAACTAAACAGGTAGAAAAGAGTTAATCGATTTCATTTGTTAGTTCTTGTCGATTCCTTTTTTTTTTCGTCGCCCTTTTTCTTCTCCTGACTTTTATCAAGTAGACACATTGTTTTTACAAAATCATTCTTTAATTTGCCAAATAGAAGACAAGAAAGAAAAAGTAATTATTTCAAGTGAATTCTTTCGAGAGAATCTGCTCATATTAATTTATATATTAACTACAACATCTTCGCTAAACTTGACGGGAAAGATTTTTACCTTTAACCAAGAAAAAAATGGACTAGTTCATCCAATATCGATGATCTCTCTTTGCTGAGAAGAAGAAAAAGAGGAGACCAATCACATATACAAAGGTTATTTCAACTCTTAAGTATGTCATAATAGTATACATAAGGAAGAATCCGCGCGCGAACGAGAGAAAGATGCAAACAAATTGATTTCAGTCCAGCCGATTGTAGTGTGGAGTAATGCCAATCAAACAAATGTCATCTTGGGAATTTGCTTTCGGTGCTCGATGATAACAAAAGGCTAGCAAGCGAACTAAAAAAAGGAGAGAAAGAAAGTTTCCGGTGGGTTCTTTTTTGTTGCTCTTCGTTTCTCTAGTGAACAATGAGATGAAGAAAGAAAAACAATGAGACGAATGAGAAATGGGATAACAACAAGAAAATAAATCACAAGGTTCGATGTTTTGATGATCTCTGTTCGACGAAGTAATTATCCTTCTTAGATATATCAAATGAAATAACATCAACGCCATTGATTTTCATCTTCTTTTCTTCATTAGATTAATTGAGTAAAGATATTAATCATCGATATGTTTATTCGGAATAATCATTAATCGAAGGGAACATTCGCTTTGTTGTTTTAGGAAATGGAATTGAAAACCGTGGGTAAATTGGGTATGGTCAAACGCAAACAATTTCTTCAAAAACGAGATATTAGTCGATCACATGAGGTAAGGAAAGCGTCATCAAGTCGACAATGTTGTGTTCTTTTTTCCTGTTTACGAGAGTTTGTCTCAAACAGAAATATGAATAACTAGTTCTGTTTGCTTCAAGTCATGACGATGAAACACGAGTATCTTTATTAATGATCATGACATAATGATTTTCATCGTAAATCAAATATTGAATTAAGAAAAAAATTCTCTTGTGCCAGGGTTTGTGTCGAGTTTTGTCTTTATAAAAAGAAATTCATGTGTGAATTAACGAACGCGCTCATTCAGGTATGTAGAGAAGAATCCCGAGGAAAAGCTTTTCTTTCTCATGGATTATTTCGATCGGTTATTAAATAAAAAACTCGCTTTAATTAAATTCGATCGAATTTCCTGACGATAATCAAGAGTGATGTTTAATAGAAAGGATTTTTTCGAAAGGAAAACATCGAACGCTTGTCAAGGTTAACTTGAAATATCATCAGACTCGCGAATAACTTTATTTTCTTGTTTTTTGTTATTTTAATTAAAGTATTTTCCATTACAATAACATAAATAGAATGAGTTTTCTCATCCACATATGTATGTGTCGATGAAAGAGCATTTGTAAACAGACAGAAAGTGTCGGATAATCTATGTTTCATGTCGTTGTTTTCTGTCCATATTGTTCTCCATAGGAAAAAGAAAACGGAAGGGAAGAACAACAACAATATTCTAATGTTACTCTTTATTCTATAGCGCGGAATTCCTCTGTGGAGAATCGAAGAGAAAATGTAATCGATTTGTCGGAAGCAAAATCGAAGGCCTTCGACAATGATCATCACGAAATAATAGGACTTCAAATGACGATAAAACTAATCATATTTTGATAAGACGAAAATAAAAAAGAAGAAGAAGAAGAAGATTTCCCACTCGCGTGTACTTGTGGCTTTGCAGACTGAGATAAGATGCATACGAGTGATTATTCATTGATTGCGAGATGGTGAACAGATGAGTTTAATGAAGAAGAAAAACCTCGACGAAATCGAATTTGTGTAAATTGTTCTTTAGTCTATTTAGTTTGTGTTTGTTAAGACAAGATTGAAATGTCGTTAAGTAAACTAGTAACGATCTAATGCGAGTTGGCATTCGATTGGGAATTATGTTTGCATTTCATCGTTCTTTGTTCTCTGTTCGGAAAACTATTAACGAAAAATGATTGAAATAATGGCAATGATGAGAATTTGAACAAACGACGAGCGGTCGTTTTGACAAGAAAAAAGAAACATCCGTGTTGGCAGAATCTTAGTCGAGAATGCAAAAGATTCTCGACACCGAAGAAAGAGAAGAAAGCATATCCTTCCATCATCATCATCAATGATTATTGTATTCGTTTCAATAACGGATCGACAGGCGCAGAAAGTCTTCATTTCTCGCGCTTCTTCTCTCTTCCTCTTTTTCGCTTTCTCTGATCTTTTTCCGCCGAGAAACACACGAACCATTATGTTTTTTCTTCAAAGCAACAATACGAAATAAAACTCTCTATCAGTTCTTATCCTCTTATACGGAAGAACTATCACTTTCTCTCTCCCTCTCCCACTTTCTCTCTCTCTCTCTCTCTCTCGTTCTCTGCATCTCCTTTTATTTCTCTTCATACGGCTGTCAATCTATCTATAAAATGATGGGTGGTTAACAACAATTTATTAAGAAATTTTCTTCGATTTGAACATTGATATCTTTCCATTGAATCACCAAAAAGTGTCTTTCCATTATTAACTCTCGCTCCTCATTCTGCTTTTCGACTCATCGATATCATTATGTCTTCGTATCGACTTGATACGCCATTTAATTCGTTGACAATCACCTCAGCGTCATCAATATCGACAACAACTATGACAACAACAGCGGCTGCTGCTAATCGTTATTTATTAGATGCCGATCCTCGACGTTTATCTACCGTAAATACGACAAATACGAATATATCTGGTGCAAATCTCCACCAACGTCGTACATCAATTGTTAATCATCATCATCAACGTCGAAATTCTCAATTGCGTAAATCAAGTTTTAGTACTTCAACATTGGTATGTGTGACAAAATCTAATTAGTCTGCCTCTTGGCCAATGGCATATAGAAACGACGAAAGAAAGAAATATTCGATATAGATTTTCTAGCTAGAGGACATGTGTCTGTATGTTTTTCTAAGGAGATGCATGATGATGACATGAAATTGAGAAAGATCTGATACACTTGAGGCCAGTCCAACACACAGAGAAAAGCAAATCTCGAAGAAAACATTCGTTTATATATTTAGTAATCATGTCATAACGATGATTGAAGAAAGTTTTTATTGGGAATGTGTTAAATATAAATATACAGAGATCAATAACACTTCATTATTATATTTCGTCATATTTTCTATACTCAAATAATAGAATCGTTTTCCTTTAATCGACAGCAGATGTTGAATGTGTTAAGATCAACTTAGCTTACGAAGGATCTTCCTTAATCTAACGAAGCAAAACACTCGGAAATTCTACTAAATGACAAATACGAGTGGAGAAAGAAATACGAGAAATCGACTAAGGCGATGGTACTAATAACAGTTAGACAACGTCAATGATGAATCGTTTATTCCGGTTAATCGCTTTAAACGAGTCAACGATCGCTATCATAATCATCAATATCTTTTCTAATGAAAACAACTGACGTTGTCGAAATCAATTTCAATCTGTTCGATTAATTAATAAACCAGTGGGCAAATTTGCCTTTCCTCTAGGTCATGTCTAGGAAAACGAGGAAAGTATATTTTTCTCTCCGTTCTTCAAACTCTTCATGTTTATATCTTGGAGAACAGTTGCTTTTAGTTTGGGTCATATAAATATTTAAGTATGTCATATTTATAAAACTGTCGTCAACATCATTAAAACATTCAATTATTGATAAAGAACTTGGGGGGAAAGAAGATTAATCCTTAAGTAATTTCGCTTGATGATTAATCGCTCCAAAGAAAACAACGATTTTTATCAATAAAATCGCATCGTCGTTTTTTGTGTAAGGCAATTTCAATGAGAATTTCATAATTAACTTTGTAATTTACTGTCGCTTTTTATACTAGGTATTCTTTGAAACATATGTAATCAAAATAATTTGATTTCTACTAATCGAATTCCGAAAAGTGAAAAACGACTATCTCCAATCGAAAATAAACAAATAAAAGACGTTAAGTCTCTGAGGAACGATGAATATAATTCATTCTTGTCCTAAATTACCGTTGTTTTCTATGGAAGTAATCTATATCTTCTTTGAAAAGAACGTTGAAGTTTTGAAAGGCACCTCGACGTTTGTTTTTTTTTCTGTATTTTAATATAGAAGAGAAGCAGAAAGAGCGAAACGGAAGAAAAAACTCTTTTCTCCAAGAGCAGTCAATGGGAAAGCATTTTTATCGACAAGGAAAACCTTTTTCTTACTTTCAACTTTTTTTTATTTATTTCATTAAGCTTGAGTGAACAGGGAAGAAGTATATTTCCGAAGAAGATCAATCACATTGGAATTGCTCATTTTGTGTTTGTCTTTGAAAGAAGAATCAGAAATATGATTATAGATTTATGAATATTAAATGTCTGAACATTGTCAGCAGATTTTTCAATATGTAAGTAAAAGCTCAAATAATCCATTTCTTTTTCTCGAATTTCGATATTTCCGTTCTTCACCCATCGGACTAGTTCTCGTTCATCAGTTGCAAAGGATTATTCGATGCGGCGCGCATAGTACAACCGAATAAAGCTTAATGATGAGAGGAGAGATTCTGGCAATACATGTTCTACATGGCATGCGTCAATAATCCATTTCATGTCGAAGAAAAAAAGAAGAAATGTCTGTCAATCTTCGTTGTTGTCGCGATGAAATGTGATGATTCGACTATCTGTATCGGTTGTCCGGCCTTCTTCTTTTTTCTAATATGATTAGAATTAATAATAGTCTCGTTCATTCTCATCACTCTTTTCCGCGCGACATTTTTTATCATTCGACATCGGCAATAAACACAATGCTATTCCCAAAGTCTTTGCCTACGTCGACTTGTCCCCATTGAAATTTCGTGAGCGAAATATGTCTACATCGACCATGAAAACCTTGGGTGAATTCATGGGAGATTGTGCGCGAACAACACACCGTCTTTCCTGCTATACGCCATTGCCAAGTCATACAAATCAGGTTTGCACTCGAGCATCTTCCCTCTGCTATAGAAAGACCGTATTCGAACATATTTTTCTCCTCTTCATGATGCATTTTGTTTGATTAGTTCTCTGTGAACAACGAGAAATGATTGCGGCCTTCTTCGTCATGTTTTTCTTTTTTCGCGTATGAATAAAACTAAATGAAAGAAAATAGTTCGTGATCTTATTAGATAGAGTCGTGATCAGATTTGCTCATATTTACACGATCTTGTCAATCAATCGATAGACAGACGAAGACGAATTAACTTCTATTAGTCGATTGTAATGTATGAAGGTGATTAGAAAAGATTGGTTCGATGAATAAACCATGAAAATACTCATTTCTAGGCTTCCAACGATGCCAGCGCGCACAGGTATTTATTGATTTTTTTTTGGAATTTGTGAAAAAGGAAATTAGAAAAGAAAATCAGTCGTGAATAAAACAGTGATTTCCTGTTCGGGTTTCCTTGAGTTTCTTCGAATCAATTTTCCCTGTTGAAACTCGCCATATTTTTCGTCGTAATCAAGGCAATAAAATTAAATCATTTGTTAGTTTTTCTTTTCTTCTGATTAGTTTGCATGCGTGCATATTCAACATCACATCATTTAAAATCGATCACTTCCGGCACAATGCACATGATGAAGTTTGCCTTCTTTTTTCAGTTTCGTTCATGATGATAGATCCATTTTTCTTTCTAATGGGCATCATTATTCTACTTATGTGCTCATGGAGTTGACTTGTTAGTTATTTTCTTGATGATAAACGAGAAGAAATGCTCTATTGACGAATCGAAAACGATCGACATTTCTTTATGTTTGAAATAATGAGAAGCGCTTCTTCGTACTCATTCATAGTTGAAACATCGAATCGAGAGAAATATGAACGAAGCATTGTGCTGTTTTTGCTACTTTCTTTCTCCTTCAGTCGCTATTGTCAATCGATGAGACTCAATTATTGATTCCATGCGCGCTATCATGCGTCCGTCTTGGCCTTGAATCCATTTATATGGACTCGTGAAGAGACTAGCGCAATGGAAAATATTTGTAGCGTACGAAATAAAACAGGGCGAGAAAGCATCGAAAGAAGGAAGAAGGGACTCGTCGTCTTACCATCGCGTGCCACTGAGCTTTTAAGGATTATAAGAGCAAGGAACTCAGTTAGTCAACAACACATCGTAGCGAATAGAAGACAGAGTTAGTTACTTTCTTTCTTCTTCTTCTCCTTCTTCTTTTCTTTCTTTTTTTGCTTCACATTCATATATATATATACATGTATGTATTCACAAACAACAATCAATCACTATTACTTCGTCAGTAACAATAAAAAGACCAACGTTGATGATAATAAATCTTTTTGAGAGATATTCTTTCTCAAGTCGATGTTCAAAACCGAAACATGCGTAGTCACAGTACGAGCGAAAGTCGAGATCGTCATCATCAATATCATCAACGACGTTTATTCCTTCGAAATCTTCTTACTGACTTTCGTCGTCAGTCAAGTGTCAATGATTATAAATTTCCCAATCCATTGGTATGTACATATGAGCTTAAAACAAATCGAATTTATTACACGTAAAGATTTCTTTTTTCATCTGAGATTACCAAATCTCTAATGGAATCATTATATACACATCGACAAAGATCTACAGAAGAGAAACTGGAAGATATCCCGTTATTAAATCTATCTTAAAATCCCTCTTGAGAGATATTTTTCGTTTGTTCTTAAACAGATATCTAACAGCTTGAAGAGAAGATCTTAGATGAACAAATCCCCTGATACTTGAGAAGATTTTTACGATAATCGTCTTCAATGATTAACTTAAGTTTTGTTTTCTTCTTCTCTTCTTCTTGCTTTGAGAAACAAGAGAGAGAACATTTTACATTATTGTTGTGATCTTTTGTGCTTCGACGTTCTCATCAGTTTCTTTTTTTTATATTCATCATGGCATCAGCTGTCTTTGCCTCTTATGTTATTCGACAAAAACTAGATGAAATAAATGAAGAGAATAGGCATGCAAAGCAATGATCATAAGCATAATAGTTCTGGCATCCGACTTTCAAACTGTTTCTTTCTGATTTCTTTTTTCGACACGCAATCTATTACTTAGACTTGTCTCGTCCTCCTCTCTCGAATAGAATATCATATCAATAAACGTATGAAAAGAAAAGCACATAGTGTCGATCTCCTGAGTATTTCTTCGTGTTGAAATCTCGAGGTTAGGATTGTAAGGTTAAGCAAAAGACGCAGATAAGCTGCCGGATGTATCTAAAGATCAAAAGAGCAATAATAATGCTGACGGACTTAAGTGTTATGATCTACTGATGATCTTCTCGTCATCTTCTGATTAAAAAACTGTTTGATGATAGAATCTTAATTTTAGCAAAAACGAAGTCACATCTGCTTATTATCCTAAGAAAAGAAAGATGACGATGACAATTATTCCGGTTGAATCAAAGATATTTTACGAAGAATTTGATCTTTCTCCTACGATTGACGAAGATTTTCTTCTCCCTTGTTTTCTAATTTGAAAAAAGCATCTCAAGCAAAAATGATTCCTTCCGTATTTCGATTTTTTATTCGCATCAGAAGAGAAAGGCAATAACATTGAGACAGTCGTTATTCTTTTTTGTCTCTCATATTCTTCAACAACGATGCGCTACACACACTTCTCTGACAGGAAAAACACGTCAACTGCTGCTTAACAAGAATAATATTTATCACTGCCGCTAGCAACATCTAAAGAGAAAGAGAAAGAAGCCCCATGTATAGAAGAATAGTAAAATGATAGAGAAAGAACGCGAGTAACGAGAGTTGATTTACGCGAAGCTCATTTTGTTACTAAAACTAAAACAAAAACCGAAACAGGAAGGGAGAGGATACACACACACATACACAGTTTCTCTTCTCTTGTCGTGTTCAATTTCCCATACTCCCTTTCTTGTTTCTGGCTCGCGCTCTCTTTGTCTCTTTCTTTTCCTTTTTGCTGTTTGTCTCCTCTTTCATCCAACTGCCATTATAACTCATGCTGTCGTCAAAGATAACATCACATCGTCATTTACCAAAGTTTATTAAGGCAAAGGTATAGAAGATGAAATATGATCTCAATAATCTCATTTGCTCAATTCATTGACTTGATTAATTTTGATTGCTATTCTCTTGCTGTTTATTTAGTCACTTGCAGTTACTGATGAAGAAACTGGAGATCTCTCTGCGACACGCTTATCAATATCAAATTCTTTGACAAGTGTTCATAAACAATGTGAACAAGATGACGCGGAAACAAGTAATAAGCTCTTAGAAATTGGTCGAGTAGCTTCTTGGGCTGTCGGTTTTGAAAAATTGCTCAATGATGACATGGGTCTACATGTATTTACGGAATTTCTAAAGAAGGAATTCAGTCAAGAGAACATCCAATTTTGGATTGCATGCGAAAAATTCAAGAAACTCTCCGATTCAGAAGAAGTAAGAATCAGTGACATTTGCCTCGACTGTAATCTTTATTACATCCGTTCAAAGATTCGTCATAAAGCCAATTTGATTTGGTCGACTTATTTACATGATACAGACGATGGTTCATGTCCGATTAATATCGATAGTCGAACAAGACAAGAATGTCAACAATCGTTATTAAATAAGCCGAATGCTCATATGTTCGAAAAGGCTCAATCTCAGATATTCCAATTGATGAAATATGATTCGTACACAAGATTTCTCAAATCAAATATGTATAAAGATTGTATCATGAGTGAAATGGAAGGCAAATCCTTACCGTATACCAAACAACAACAACAACAACAGCAACAACAACGTCATCATTATCAACAGCAGCAGCCACACCATCGTCGTCCACCACAACCTCATCATCCGACCTCGACGATCAACGAAGATAAATGCAAAACACTCGATTCTCTAGTAGAAGATTTTCGCTTGAATCCAACTCGAATCTTTAATCATTTTCTTTTCCCAGGCCAAATTAAAAGACGACGAAAAGAAAGATAAAAAACGAAGTCCTCTATTACCCTGGACCAAAGGTATGTATGATTCAAGTTCCAAGTGATTAAGATAATCTCTCTTTATCTGTGATTTTAGCATTCATTAAATGGAAACGTCTATCAGGTTTGTTTATAATTAGAAAAGTTCTTTCGTATCTTCTCTCATTCTTCTCTATTGATCCATGCTTTTTGTGATTAATTTCTTTTTTATTTATGCTCAATTTATTTAGCTGCGCCCGAGACAAGCAAGTTTCGTTTTTCTTTTTTTCTTCTTGATGTTCTGCATCTTCTCACAGAAACAAACGCTAGTCTGTCTATTCCTAATCACTAAAAACGCATTCTTCTTCTTCTTCTTCTCCTTTTTCTTCCTTGTCTGCACGTGTAAACTCGAGAGACATCGAGCCACGGCTAGATAGAGGAGAAAAACGATAGTATTATCTTCAACTCGTGGCCCATTGCCACTAATATAATGCTATCGTTCTTGCTATTGCTACTACTAACCGTTTCGTCAGTTGATAGCTTAATGTCAGTTGTTTAGTGCTCTGCATGTGAATGAGGTGTGAACGAAGATCCATGATCGATCGATTTGACCTATTCGACTGTTGATATACACATCGATGTACGTTTACACACACACGCACATATATATATACTCGTGAGTTTTAGACTAGATGAAAAGCGCATGTCACCAATCAATACTTACAATAGATTGCACAAACTAACCTTCATTCTTTTAGGAAAATTAATTTTCATTGTTGAACTCTAGAGTTGCCAAACATAAAAAGACAAAAGTGAAAATTAATCTATTTTTATGCAACCCTATTTGAAAATACACATCTGTTGATGTTCTTCATGTATCTAACCAGCACATATATGTGATTCGAATCGTAATTGAAGAAATCGATCTAGTTCCTCTCTCTTCGTTGCAGTGTCAGCCTCGGCGAGTAATACGCTCAACGAAGATTCCAGTGACGAATAGTGTTATTGCGCTCGCATTCTTTCAGTGTAATTTCTACTTGATTCAGGTGAATAAACGCAAACCCATATTAACGAAACCATCATCAAACCTTTGTTATGATTTTCATTGCAAAAACTCTTTCATGAAAATGTTCTTTCTGATTGATTCGTTCTATTTTTCCATGTCTAGTTAAACGTGATACACCTTCATCCTTGTCGAATTTGCACCATCAAACTGCCAATGCTAGTACCAATACTCCGATTCATGAAAATCTGACTTTGTCACCATTTCTTTCTTCGCCCATCACCAGTAAATCGAATTCAACAGAATTAGGAACAATTTTAACAAATATTAAACTTCCTGGTACATCTTCTTCTTCGTCATTGCCAACTGCGATTACCAGTGGAAATCTATCGAATAAATTATCAAAACTCTCTCCGAATATTAATCAACAAGATTTAGCACAATTTAACTTCACTGTACGTCCAGAAACCACGCAAGAAAACACTCCAGTTGTTGAAAAAAAGTCACTAATTGTTTGTTTCTCTTTCATTTTCTCCTTCTCATCTGTCTCGATTTCGTTTTGTTCGTTAGGAAAACTTTTCTTCGACATCCATTGATTCGTCTCGATATTGTCGTTTTATATTTCCCGATCAAACTTCCGCTATTCTTCTCACATACAACTGTCCTAATCAAACGATTCAACAAGCTATCAATCGTCTATTTGCCAAACGTGGAATCACTTGGTATCGAACCGAATTATATCTCACATCTTCAAATGATCAGGTAAGAAAATAAACAAACACTAGATTATTTATTTATTTATCCAAATTATTATACTGAGCAAGTGCTAGGAGCGTTACTGAATATGTGTAGGGTTGAGATGACCAGAAAGGAAATTCTCCACCGGGAACATTATATCCGTTGAATGTTGTCGGAGTTGAGACATTAAAATGTTTCTCTTCGATCATATGTTGATATATCGTTTCATTGATATATCCACTAACACCGACAATTGTATCAACAAGCGATTGATTATTGATATCGAAACGATTCGGATCGAAAGTTGTTCCATTTAAGTACTGATAAGTATTAGCAGGGTACCAAAATGGTAATTGATTGAAACCTTTGACTGAACCGGAGAAGAAACAATTGAAACTCTGATACTTGAATGAATTATTCAAGAGCCATGACACCGACCGATTGGTCATCGTTTGCACGATCTCAATCTGTTTACTTCCATTAATCCATTTTAATTTGCCAGTATTGGCATCAAGATAAGCAAATGAAGCCAGAAGAACATTGACAGTTTGTGCTGTTGAAAAGATTCGATCTTCGCCTGTAGGCTCGGCTTTGCCAAATATATTTGTATCATTAGCACCAAGAAAGTCGTCGTACGATGACAGATCCGATCGCACATGTTCTTTGAAGTATTTCACCACATCATTTCGATAGACATCAGCTAACAATGCATAGACACGATTGAACACATCCGGTAGAGATTTCTGCTGACGACGTGTCAATTCTAAGAGAAATAAGGTGCGTGAACCGTACCAGAGAAAGTTATAATGTGATGGATAGTAGACTTGAGCGAGATCCGGACGATTTTTCATCGAGTTCTTGATTGACCATGCGATTAATGACGCTGTTGAAAAATACAAGGTCTAAATAGATAGAAATCTATCAAGAGAACAACCTTGACGACAATCAGCTCATTAGGAACCATTTCGCATGTTTAAGTTTGCTCTCAACATATGGAAAGAAAAAGAAATCGTGTTTCTCCCATAGGACTTATCTAAGAGTTCATAAAGAAAACAAAAAGGGTTAAAGTCTATTCTTATCTTATCAAAATTTCACCTGAAAGTAGAAGATTCTTATGTAAAATTGACATTATTCTACTTACTTCCATATCTTTAGTGAAATATGTTTTGAAATCGAGTAGATCGTAGACCATCGCACTTGTTATTCCATACAGAACATTCGCACCCACAGTAACATCGACATTATTCAAATTGAACGGCATGCGTATTCCTTGATGAGCAACTTTTCTCACTTCTGCTATATTCTGTGCCCAGGTCGTGACAATAATTGCTTGAGGATTATCGCGAACGAAATCTCTTAACCAAAAATATGTTCGTGGATCTATTGTATTTTGATCCAACAATTGACTCGATGGTCGATAAGCATACTGCAATGTCAGATCGATCAATTTCTTCATATTCGAATTTGTTTGTACCCAACGTTGAAAAAGCGAAGGATATTTGTCTTGTAAAAGTTTTAATTGAACACCGAAGCCAATATTCAAATAGGTATCATCAAAATCTGGAGGAATTTCGAATACATCTTTGAACGATGCACTACTCGTACGCAGTTTATCGATCAACTGAGCGATATTTTTCACTCCGAGAGTTTTTAATATATCTTCGATAATTAGAAGATTTTTGTCGAGATCCGTAATCAAGTAGCGGAGATTATCCGGTGCGGATTCCCAAGTATTTGTTGTTGCGTTGTATATTTGCGACCAGAATGTCATCAACGGCACGGCTGATTCATTTTGATTATGATCATGAAACTTTTCAATCGCATCAAATGCCAAAGACAAATGTTCCGTATCGATAGTTTGAGGAGCCCGACCGTACATATTTGCTTCTAGTAAAACTGTTGAAATCCATCTAGAAGAAACGAATCCACACTTAATTTTTGTTGTTTTTGTCAGACAAAGATTTACCCAGTAGCGAACATGTTGTTATCGAAAACATAAATGAATTTGTTTTTGCGTAGCTCAGCTTCATAGGGCTTGTCGAAGAAATCAAGTCGAATTTCCGACCGATAAAGTCCTAATTGTTTTTCCCAGACTGGAAGTTTAAATTTCACCGGTTTCAGTATCTAAATACATTTGACATCGTTCAAAAAAATGACAAATTCTATTTAGTTACTTGTTCTTCACTAATCAATTTGATTAGTTTTTCCATAACTTGATCAATCGGCTGAGTCGCATCGGAATAGCAACTCGCTAGACAAATAACGAAAAGCAAAGTCTTGTGTAACAACATCATTAGTAAAAAGATAAGAAAATCTTTTTCGTTATGTCGTTTTATACTCATCTTTAATCTTATCTTTTCTGATATGATGATGATCATGTTGAAACTTGACTCATAATTTCTTTCGACATTTTAGCAGCCAATTGATATCCAAGATTTGTTATCGACGTTAGCTGCGAAGGAAGTGCGAGTGGAAACGCGGATTTTGATTCGAATTGATTTTCCAATTAAAATTTTGTGTGTACGTTGCGATCCAAAACGAACACTTCTACAAGTTCTTCAGCCCATTGTCGATAAATTGAAATTATCTATTGGACAATTCGTTTTCTATGTGGTATGAAGAAGGAAAAAAAACGTGTCTATCGTATTTTGTTGTTTTTTTTTCGTGTTAGAATGACTCATTGATACCACTTAATCTCAATGATACAGTTAGTATTTATGACAATCAGCGGATATTCACATTGACAAAGACTGCTTCAGGTGTTGGTGAGTAATGAAAGAAGAGATGTCGTGGAAAATGATGTTTTTTGTTCTTTAGATATGTCGAGTAGGCAAAGATTCCGACCGACGAACGATATTTTTGATATGATATCGGAAAATGACGAAGATATCAAGTTCGACGAATGTGGCATATTGAAACCAGTAACTGCGACGAAATCGACGATTGTTGTTGTACGAGAGCTATTCTCTGAATGTTTATTCGCTGATTCTTTTGATGTTTTCTAGTCAAGTGATGATTATCCTCATTCACCTACACCAGAAGGTACTCCAGTCAGCGATAGTGATAGTAAGAAGCAATGATGATCAGAAAAAATAATCGTCTTGTTTACTTAGAAATTTATTGCGGCCCCAAACGGTGATTTATCTTGTTGTTTTCATATTCGTGATGATTGAGATGAACACTACCCCGGTGTTGTATGAATATTTCACAAGCAAATCTTGGATACAAGAACAGTACTTATCAAATCGAAGAAATTTCTTTCACCTAATTCTATCTTACACAAACGATGGTGCTAACTCATATATCCGCGGCGGTGTGTCATCATCTTTGATTGTATATTCATATCATCAAAGACTTTCTTTTTTTTTCTGGCACTCTTACTGTACTTCTCCCTTTCTGTGTCTATTTCTTTCTTGTCGTATCCATTTCTGTGGTACCGAATGTTTTTTTTTCTTTGTGTTTACTACCTGTATGTCAAGATTTTTCCAGATTTGACATTGTGTCAGTGAGTGTGTACGTGTGACAAGACTTGAACAGTACGAAAACGAAATCAGAAAGCAAACATATACATATAAATATATTTACGATGAAATACAAAGATTTTATCATAAAAACTTGTCAAGCGAATAGTCGTTTGGATGAGATCGGTATGCAAAGATATATCTTTCGCTTACGGCCATACCACGTTGAATACACCAGTTCTCGTCCGATCACTGAAGTTAAGCAACGTCGGGCTCGGTTAGTACTTGGATGGGTGACCGCCTGGGAATACCGAGTGTCGTAAGCTTTTTGGTTTGGAAAATGAAAATGTTTTTGTAGAAAACATTTTGTCAGCGTTTCTTTTTATTAATGAAAACAAAATAAAAGTATATTAACCGATAATATCAAGCGCAAATATAAAGTGAAAAGAACATCAGAAGACAAATGACTATGTGAAAAAAATCAATCAATATGCGACAAATGAAAGTTAACACGGATATATTTAACAAGAAGAAGAAGATCTTATCATTCTATTGCGATTTCGATCGAAATTCAACGATTGCGATTGCTACCAAAAGCGAATTTGTATAGAAAAAAAGTTCCAGTGAATATGGTGAGAATTCCAATAAAGAACGGTCGTCGATATTTTGTTGTTAGAAGCGTAAATAATGTTGCTTCGTTATAAGAGTTTTGTCGTTGAAGCTTGGCTTTTAACTCACTGACTTTTTTCTCGAGATTTTCATTGTGTGCTAAACGTTCTTGACGAAGTCGAAGCGATGTTTCAACATCTTGCCTAAAAAAGGAAACTCAGTCGAAAAGTAATTGAAAAACATCGAAATCCGTACGGTGTTATTAACGGTACAGGTTGGAATTGTTTTAAGTCTTCTGACGACATCCGAGATTCTGATTTTGATATTAAACGACGCATTGTTTTCGGTGAAGGATGATAACTGCTTGCATTTGAATCTGCTCTTCGCATCAGTTCGCAATTGATATCCTCTAATGAATCACTTAATCGACTATTAGGCATAATGTTATCTTGTCTTCCACATCCTTTTGGATGTTTTTTATCTGTGAGAGTTTGTTCATCGGTATCACTATCACTTTCACTAGAAAGATTCATTTCACATTCAGTGAACAGCTTTTCGTTCCGTTCAAGATCGGTGAGAACTTTCATTCCAGCGATAATGGCACGATAGGAAAATCTAGTTTTATACCAAGAAACCATTTAATATTTCACATAAGGCAAATGATTTACCTTAATTGCTCGGCGGTTTGAATAAGTCCGGATCTCTGACTTCGAATATGAGAGAGAATATCAATCAATGATATATCACCGGGATTTTCAGTATGTGCAAGCTAAAACACACAAAACCTTCGTTCGAATCATGTTCGGAGATGTTCTTTTACCATTTTAAGAATTGAATCCACAAAGACAAATGTACCGGATCGACCAATACCTGAAAAGTACGTATAGGATTGTGTGAATGAAGTTGGCTCAAGTTTACCAGCGCTACAATGAAGTACAGGTGGCCCAAAGCGAGGATCAAATGCACCACAATGCCGAACATCACGAAGTAGTTGCAAGAATGGTTCGGGATTACTTGGAGCACCATGATCGGGCCAATCAAAATCTGACCAATGTATTATTACACGAGATTCTCCTGTCTAAACAGATGTTTCTCATTCCATTGAGCTTTATTTTGAAGTTTCATTACCAAAAGATTGATTAATTCGAATTTTCGTTCAGTATAATGTCGATGTTGTCTGTCCGAAATGAAAACAACCTTCAAATCGACATCATCGTACGTTAATTCACTCGCATTTTGATAATCCGGATAATATAACCAACATTTCGCCTAAAATACCTCAAACGTTCTCTTTCATCAAACTTTTCAAGAACACTTACACATCCTTTCTCTATCAATCGAGTCAGCATGACAATCACTCGGCTATTTTGTTCCCAAATCATTTGCCAAAAATGATTGGAAGTTGTCGGCAATGGTCCCTATAGTCAATCAAAGCGTCTTTCACATGTTTCTTTCATTCGACAAACTTGTGTGAGAATATATTTCCGATTGGCAGAGGGAATTTGAACGTAATTAGCATTGATGTAGTCATTTGAACCTCGTAGTAAACAAACTCGCGTATCATCATCTATGAAAAGATATTCCGAATCGAATGTATGAAGAGGGATCTTCTTTACATGGTAAAACATCGCGAAATCGATTCAATCCTCTGTTCATATTCAATAAAGCGATATCCGCTTTTTTGTTCGATGTTTTCATTCGATGATCATTGGCGAGTTTCTATAAACAAGCTTACAGTTCGAAGAATCTTTTCGAATTTAGTTCGAACTTACGACGAATAAGTTGTTCCATCCATGTTCTTGTTCGATCTTAAGAAATTCTTCTTCTATATGTGACATATCTAGAATTTGAGAAAATTTTTTTCGCTAAAAAAGAATGGACGGATTCAGAGAAAAATACTACAACACACACACACACGAATACGATGGAAAGAAAACGGAAAAACGAGATTAAAATTAAAATTTCACTTTGAGTGAAATCGCAGGTGGAGCGTAGGTATTCATGGGCCAATCTTTTCCATTGATTTTCAAATTCTTTGGCGAATCAACTCGTAATGCCGGAATCGAAAATTTCTAAATAACAAACAAATCTGCACAAAAACCGTAATAAAATCTTGATTTCACCAACCTCTTTTCGCCATTCGATATTCATCAAACGATAAACTGGTTTTGGAATCTCGATAATATCACCAAGTGAAACCGATGTCGAAATATCAACATAATACACAGTTACTAAAACACAACGTTCTTCCGTATCAACTAAGATAAACATTCTAAAGCAGAAGAAAAATATTGAATTTGGATAAGAGAAATATTTACTGACAGTTTAACGTCTTGAACGCCCAGACTGGCAACGACAGTGCCGCGATATGTGGCGTTTTCATTCTCGCCTGGACGAAGAAATTGAAGTGGAACAACATTGTTATAGAATGGAGGTGTTTCGTTTAGAATTGATATTAACGTTTTGAACTTCTTTGGTTTGATTCGACCCTAAACAAATCAAGATGATTTGAAGTTTTCTTTTCTTTGAGAAAGACTAGACAAACTTTGCATGCGATCAGATCGGTAATTGTACGTAAATAACTAAGTAATTGATCTTGATTGTTCCGTGCATCTTCATTTTCACCATCCAGTTCGAGGGCATGTTCATAGGAAGCAAGAGCTTCGGCATAATCTTCATGATATTGAAGTGCCTTGAATAAAAAAAATGCATTTGCAATGAGTTAAATGATCTTCCCTTCCCAGGAGAGAGATTTATATGAAAATACATTCGCACAACTTCGAAATGGATTCCATGAAGCCCTTCAATCTCCGTTGAGACTAAAAGTAGAACTAATATGTTCTTCAACTAAGTTTATCATCGAAATATCCCTTCTCAGTATCTTTTTATGGTCTATATTTATCTGCGACGATATGTTTATTTTTTTCGTAATTCGATCTGATCATATATAATGAATGGATTTCTTATTCAATCAAGTGTCAATGTCAATATCAAATGATTTCTCATATTTTCTGCATGTTTGCAACAGCTGACATATCTTCAAGGTTGTTCTTACCACTCCTCGACTGTAATGTAAATCGCCATCATTCTCCGATGCTGGATCTTTGAGCTAATCAATCGAAAATGAAAATGATACAACGAAAAAGCGGTGTTTATCAAACTCACCGCAAGATTATAAGCGCTAAATGCTTGTTTTAAATTTTTCGGATGATTTTCAACCATAAAATAAAAACAGACATAAGAATTGGCAAGTGTATCTGAAATTCCATAATGACAAATCAGAAGATGATTCAATAGAAATGTTTTCTTACACCAAGAAGCACCATCTTTAACATCGAGTTCAACCGCTTGTTTAGCGTATTGGATACTTTCTTCGATCATACGATTTCGTTCAGTACGATCAGTCACTTTCGAAGCTAATTGACGGGTAACAATCGACAGATTTCTCAAAACTGCACGACTTTTCTCCTAAGCAAAGTTCTTTTTGTCAACCGCTGAAAAACTCCGTTCTCACTTTGTTATTCGCATTTTTAAAACAATTGGCCGCCATTTCAAATTCGCCGTTCTTTGCATAACTTTCTCCGAGTTCGTTTAACGTCAGCACATTCGACGGTTGAAGAAGTGCGGCTTTACTCAAATAATCCGTCGCACGTTTATCGTATTCAGGAAAGATATTAAATGCACGACCTTTCCAATAGGAAAACAGTGCTCGTTGACATGGATCACGAATTTGTTCTAAACGAATCGAATAGAACATGTCAGAACGAATCATTTGTTAACCTTCAATTTCATTGTAATTCAAGAGGATTTGTTCAAGCCGTGTGCGAATTAATTTATAACGATTTTTCACCGATTCCGTCGGTTTCGACTTTGGTTTGAATAGATCATCACGATACACGTAAAGATTCTCAACATCATTCTAAACGAAAGTAATGACCGAGAGGAGTAAATAATAAGGAAGAAAAAAAAATATTCATACATAATTATGCACTATTATTCATAGGAATATGAGTCAAGATTGGTCTGATGAAGAGAAAGTGTTTGAGTGCAATCATGGCAATATTTGTCTTATTCTTAATTAAGATTCTAAGTATCCAATTACGAAAAGGAAAGGTTATTTCAATAAACCGGCATCGCTGCGATGAAATATGAAGAAAGAGGAAATATACGAGCATTTGTTCTTCCCGGTATGTGCTCGTAGTCTATGACTTTCATAAGTATGTATCATTAAGAAAAAATGTTGCTTTTTCCTTTGATTGAAATCTATATTATTACTTAGTTACACAGTTCACAGTTTATCACAAGAAAAATATGATTTCAAACCAATTAGAAAATGAGTAGAAGGCTATTGTGATTCATCGCTATGACAACCGGACAATTCATCACCTTTTGACCGATACTCAATTCACTCCCTTTTCTTACCTTAAAAGCCGAAACAGTTTTCGCTTCTTCCGCCTAAAAGTACGAACAGAAAACAAAAGCTTTATCTCAAAAGATATCAAACGACTCTACCGTTCGCAGTTGCACTTCATCAACTAGATCAGCCATTCTAAAACACTCTAAAACAAAAAACAACAGTCGTTTATTTTCTCTCCCACATATTTACCGTCGATACACACACAACAATCAATGACTTATACATGTTGTTTTTTCTTTATTTCTTTCGTTCTGCTTCACACATGCACATACAAAGAAGAAAAAAAGAAATGGGTCAGACGACAAAGAATAAAAAGTAAACGATAAAATGTCATTTATATAGTTAGGAAAATTAAACGAACAAATTTGAATATGAGCCAAACCTATATAGGCGAAGAAAAAGATGCTGAATTATATACAAAATAAACTCTGTCCAACTCTGTGTGGTTTGAAAATTCTTTTCGAATGAAATATAAAGATGTGAACAGTTTTATTTATCTAAATCGCGCGCGAGAGAGAAAGAAAAAGTCTTCTATAGAGGATATATATTGTTTTTTTTCCTTGAAAAGATACGAACAAACAACAGAATACAACATCAAAGTATAGATACACAATCACACACACACAGATTTAAAGAGATGCACAAAGAAAAGAAAAAGACAATTGATGATGTTGTTTTTATGATCCGATGAAGAATAAAACGTTTCTCTTTAACAACAGCCACCTCCAGTACCTTGCGCCGGACTCTGACGAGGAGGCGCCCCACCAGGATTACCAATTTGAGGCCCAATTTTAATACCAGTAACCTAAAACTCGTTTGATAAACTCAATAATCTTTGAGGAAAGAGAATTTACTTCATTTGTTGGATCAAAAACACCTTCTTGAATTTTGGTATAAATTTCCCGTGCAGTGTTGATAAATGCCTAGAAGATAGAAGAATTAGATTGAAATTAAACAGGATTGTATTTACATCTTCGACATTGGCAGCTGTTTTAGCCGATGTTTCCATAAAGATCAATCCATGTTCACGTGCGAATGCTTCGCCTTCTTCTTTTTGCACTTCACGTCGTGCAGATAAATCACTAAAAACAAATTTCACGTCTTATGAGACTTTATTGCTTCGACTGACCATTTATTTCCAATGAGCATGATGACCATATTTGACGTCGAATGTTGTCTTGCGTCTTCTAGCCAACTGGTCAGATGATTGAACGTGTGTCGTCTAAGAAGGTTTACAGTATGAAAGACTCCTTTCAGGGAAGTTGTATGTAGTTTACTGTGTTATGTCATAAACAAGAAGAGCGCCAGCTGCGCCACGATAATAAGAACGAGTAATTGAACGAAAACTTTCTTGACCAGCCTATTTCGAAATGCATAAATATACGACAAGTTCAGAAGATTTATTCAACAAACGGTATCCCATATTTGTAGTTTGATCTGTTTACCATCAATGGTGATCATACGTGCACCGAATTCCACACCTACAATGACATTGAGTAAAAACTGACTTGAGAAAAAAATGGAATTTGAACTTTACCTATGGTCAGATCATGGACAGGTTGAAATCGTTTATCAGTAAATTGAAGCAGTAAACAGGATTTACCGACGCCTAAACAACAACAACAACGATTGGTGAATATTATGTTGAATAGTTTCATAAATAAACAAACCGGTATCGCCAATAATGATGTATTTGAAAAGATAAGCATAAGCCATTACTTGCGAATATGAAGACAATCTGGAATGAAATAAAACGAAGAAAGTGAGTCGTGTCGTGTATTTCATATAGTAAACGATGATTCATGATAAAATGTCGAGTGAGACATCAGCTGCTGTGCTACGTCACCATCTTGGATTCATATGATCGAATGACTTCCAAAGTATTTGCGTCTATGGATGCTAGCGACATCTATTTTAAATTTACTTATATATGATTCTATCGCTACTTCTGCATGCATATTGTTTCCATTTGACTAAATTAATATTATTTAGTATTCAATTAATGACTTTCCTCACAGCATGATCATGCTAAAATCTCAGAGTAAAACTATTTCAGTAGTTTCACATGTATAACTAAAGGTTTCGCTCCGACAAAGCTTATTAGGGTTAATAGATTTTTATTAGATGAGAATAATATATTTCCATCTAGCAAGTTTCTTTTGAAACAGTTACAAAAGCTTTCGCAAATGTGAAATTTCAGGCAATAAAATGAGAGAGTATGCGTTTAACATTAGACTTGAGTTTTCGGTTCATGAGTTTTATGTTTTGTAACCTTTGTAATAAATTATAAGAATATTGGCGTCGTGCAAATTTAAGTGATTGTTAAACAAACTCCATTGGAATAAATGGTGTTTCATGACGTTCATACGTACCACCAAAGATGTTCTTAAAAACACATGTGAAGAAGAAATGGTTTTACAACGCTCAATGGGAAAAACGACGCTTCTACTACTGTTGTTGAATGATACAGAGCATGAATATGATGCCAATTCAGTCAGTCATATTACTGATACGAAAATACAGCAGTGACACGCATCTTGCAGATCAGGGCTGTTAGGGAAGGTCCATCTCCTGTGTGGCTGATGTACAGCATATATATCATCACTTACAACTAATCTTTAACATACGAATACTACAGATGTCTGCACAAGACAAATATCTTTTGTACCTGAAAATTGTATTACTGTCAATTTCTTTGTAGTAAAAGATATCGTTCTTCTTCAAAGTACAGAATTTTTACGCTTAAACATTGCAAAAATATTGTACTTATCTTTTTTGTACACTACCGGATGTATCTAAAATCTGCAGATAGAAGCAATGAGTCATCGCATTCTGACCACATACGCTTATCATTCATATGTATGTCTGTAGATTAATTTGAAGCAGATCTACAACCGTTTTTTAACAATATTCTTGTATTTATGATTGATAATTTCCATATTTGGTTTGTATACTGTTAATTTTCTTCTAAATTGTCTTGCTATTTTTGTTGACGTCACATGAAACATTGCAACAGAGCTTATGACGCTTATCTAACAGGTACTGTCAGAGTTCATTGGTTAGCTGATCGATAGATGCGATAAACAAATAATGAAATAAAGAACTCTTATAATGTTATTACTAGGTTATTTTCCATATACGAAGATATTGCTGGTTTTGAGTTACACGATATTTTTGTAGTGATTGCCTTTTCACTAACAAGACTACTGTAATATGTTTTCTATTTCAGATTTTGATCGAAGACAGATATTTTTTGAAGTAAAAACAAAATGAATTTAACATTCTCACGTTCGTTCTCTTTTATTTCAAAAAGTGTATTAGAAAAGCGCCATGCTCTTGTTGTGGGTGCTGGTATTGCCGGCCCTGCAATAGCATATTTCCTTCATCGTTATGGTGTAGAACCTGTTGTGGTTGAACGTTCGCCAGAACTTCGCTCAGGCGGTCAAACTCTCGACATACGCGATCCGAGTGCTCGAGAAGTTGTTCGACGTATGGGCATCGAAAACGCAATTCGTGAAAGACTCACAAACGAACGTGGATTGCTTTTATTAGATAGGAAAGGGCGAACACAAGTCGCTTTCAGTGCAGACGCGCTTGGTGGACAAGGTTTTATTTCTGATATTGAAATTCTTCGCAATGAATTAGTCAATGTGCTTTATGAACGCACTCGTAACAACATCGAGTACATTTTCGGAGACCATCCAGTATCGATTAATGATCAAAAAGATCAAGTACAAGTAACATTTGCGAGTGGAAAGAGCCACGAGTTCGATTTAGTTATTGGTGCCGATGGAATTGGATCGAAGACGCGACGTTTAATTTTCGGTGATAAATCACCTATGAATTATCTAAATGTGTATATCGCATACTTCACCATTCCATCTACTCCGTCTGATAATAACTGGGCACGTTGGTACAATGCAACAAAAGGGCGAACAATACTAATTCGGCCTGATGGTCAAGGCACGATGCGTGTATCACTTTCATTTCGCAGTCCACAATGTGGATACGAAAATCTTACTGAAGACAAGAAAAAGGAAGTATTACAAAAAGTATTCCACGATGCAGGTTTCGAAACGCCTCGAATACTCCACGAACTCATGAATACTAACGAATTCTACTTTGAAGCTATCGGACAAGTCAAGATGGATCATTGGTCAAAAGGACGAGTTGCTTTAGTAGGTGATGCAGCTTATTGTCCTGCACCTATCACCGGTATGGGAACAAGTTTAGCTCTTATTGGTGCATACATCTTGACTGGTGAGCTTGCACGTTCTCAAAATCATATAGAAGCATTTAAACAATACGAAGATCTAATGAGGCCACATGTTGTTAAAGCACAGAAACTATTTCCGATGGCTACACGTATCGCTGCACCAGACACGGCGACTGCAATTTATGTGAGAAATGTTTTAGTAAGTGTTGCTGCAAAAATCTTCAACACCCGATTTGCGGCAAAAATGTTGGAAGAAAAATTTGATAACACAAGTTCACTACCAGATTACGAATCATTATCACTTCGATAATATTTACGGCATTTTTTCGTGTTCATGTCACATTGAAATTCTTCAGACGAAATAAAAGAGATCTATTCAGATCTTGGAAGTAATCAGAGCGTTACAAATCATTGCCACACTTTTTTACAGTAGATTTAATCGTGCTGAATTTATGCTTTGTGATTAGTGTTTTTTTGCGCTTGGAAAATTTTCTATTCAGATTTTATTGAAATTCGTCATGTCAGGTTCATTTCGAGCAAAAAACGATAAACAACCAATTGAACGACGTAGTAGTATCAGACTTCGTCATAGAACTGACGATGACGATGAAGGCGCTGCGTGGAGCATTGGTAGTAACGGTGGTTTAAGTCGATCAAGTCAAGACGATGGATTAAATTTTCAAAGTAAATTGAATTTGTTTCAGCTCGAGTTGAATATAAAAATAAATTCAGATTTTTCCGTTCATTCTGAGCATATCGATCGATTTTCTGAGTAAAGATTTCTTATTTGTGAAAATCTGCATGGTAAAAATTGAATTTAGTAAAAAGCTCGATCGGGAAGAATATTTCCAGTTGATTCAGAATAAAAATGGCGAGTATTCTTACGATGGAATCGAAGAAATTCTACCTGATTCTGATGATGAGCGAATGGATGATGATGAACGTTTGTATACCAATGATGATCGAAGTTCTTTCACTCGCGAACAATTTATTGAATACCAACAATTAATCAAACTACTTCGTTTTGTCAAAGTTCGTTTTTTCATCTGTTTGATTTACTTTCTTGTAATGAAAAATCTAGAACGGAGGTCGATGTACCACGATTCTATCCTTAGCTTTGTTACATGATCATAATTTACACGACCGAAGTGCGTTTTTCGCATTTAAAGACACGTCAACCATCAATGTGTTGTTGAATTTTCTCGAAATGTTCGATCGTGATCTCAAAGTATAAAACTAAAAGGCTAAGATTCCGTTTCAATGTTCTTATTCAGCTAAACACATTGTACGTTTTGGAAAATGCTTGTCAAAACCCATCATTCGCTTATGAAGTCTTTCATCTTGGAGGAATCATGACGATGATCGATAGTATGTGTTTAGATCACTTTGGTATTCAGGAAAGTTGCTCAATTCTCATTCATATTTTACAATTTCGACGTGCGAGACGAGTTATTCGACGTTCCGGTGGAATTAGCAAATTAGTAAAAGATTTTCATAGAAGAATCCATTGTAAGAGCATCGATTATGTTTCAGATAACTTTATTAGATGAATTAAGCGATAATTTCACTGAAAAGAACATTTTTGACGTCTTTCTTTTGTTGTGTAAATCAAAAAAGAATCAATTTGTTTGTATTCGCTATGGAATCGGGAGGATTTTGTTGAAAATCATCTCATATCATTCGACAATATCGATTATTTCATTACTCGCAATTCTTCTTCAAATCGTAAAATCGAATTTTCATTGATCAATATTAATATGAACAGAAATTTTCTTTCAGTCGATCTTCCGTATGCAAATCATCGACAAAGATTTGATCATTTCGTTAGTTAATCTGATTGACATGACAAATACGGACTTAACACGTGTCATTTGCGAATCTTTGTACTATTTATCATCGGATTCGAGTCTTCTGCAGTTTATCTATCAGTATGGATTTAAGAAACTCAAAGATTTGTTAGAGCAAACGACTGATTCATCGATATTTTGTTCGATTATCAACATCCTCACTGAATTTATTCGAACGAATGAGAATCTTTCCAGTGATATTGTATCAAATATAATTAAATTCCTGCGAAATTCGTCGAATTCATCTTATTTATTACGGATAATTCAATCCTTAAACCAATTAACTAAACATTCTCAAACAATTCAGATCTTTAAACATGAAAATCTCTTTCGAGATTTCATTTTCTATTTACAAACGATCACGAATCCTGACATTCTATCAAACATTCTCTCCATCCTTCAACAATGCGGCAAAGACAAACAAGCGACTATGATGATTGTCGATAACCATGGTTTCGAGGAGCTTTGGACTTTGTTCAAATTAGCTTCATTACCAATTCAAATAGCTTCCGGTTGGACAATTCAAAATTGCCTCGTTTCCCTTGAAGTCAGTTTGGATAAGAAAGAAAGCCTTAGGATTTTTCTCTGTATGTAGAATCACGGTGAATTGATTCGTTCGTTCGATGGAATTTTCTATTTAATTCTGCAGACATTATCAACAGAGAGCATTGATTTACTTGGTGTGACTCTGTCGATTATAGCTGAAATTGTTAAAGATGAATATAATCTTGAGATTTTAACAGATCTCGGTATCGTGACAAAACTTTGTCAACTGAATTCTCTCGTTTGTTTTTATTCAAATTACGTTGATTAAAATTCGTTTTCCGATTTTCGATTAGGACAATTCGCAATTGAGTAAACCATTTTGTGATGCTCTGGCCAATCTATCAGATTTACCGAGAAATCAAAAACAATTCGGCAGTCGTCGTGTTATCCTTGCTCTGAAAAGCTATTTTAAACAGCAAAATTCTCAATTATTTCGACCGTTGACAAAAGCGATATACGATCTTTCACTCATTCCATCGAATTGCGTTCTTCTGCATGACGTCGGGATCGCATCGGTAGATAATAATAATAAAAACTCTTCCATAACGGTTGTTTCGATGCTGAGTAGGAACTTCTTCGATTGATTGGCGATGACGATCCAATCGTTCAAGAGAAAGCGGCGAATGCTTTGCGAAATATGCGGCAATTGCTTGATGATAACAGACAAGTAGAACGAACTCTGAATAAAGAAATTAATCGAAGTACGATGAAGCGATTTCGAAATCAGTTTTATTGAAATTCATTTTAGCATCGACACAAAAACTGATCGATAAACGAGAGAAATGTCTTCTCATGTCTCAATGAATTAATTATTCAAATCAGCCAATGTTTTCAAACTCCAAATTCTGCTTTTTTCCTCGCTGGATAAACTTGCTTTGTCGATCAAACTCCAATCGTATTCTCTTGGGAGCACCCGCGCATAACCCAACGCACATAGAAACGCCCCGAACTTAATTCGTGTTATCGGATGTAAACGATGTTTTTCATAAGAATTCGTCATCCATTTCCACCCATCTTTCTTGTTTCCATCTGGCCAATGACCTTCATACGATCTCGATGCGGCCAGATTATCCGCAATCATTTCCAAAATCGCTTCGTCGGGCATTTCATGGATGATCAAACCTTCCAAAGTCTCATTTCTCGAAATATTCTTCGCAACCGACGGATAATCCTCGATAAAATGTTCCCAATGGTGATCATTATTCTCTACATGGTGTAACCAGGCCCGATGGAACTCCTCACCATTCTTTTTCCCACCAAAGAAATAATTAGCATACGGCCAAAACTCGCTCTTGCTGAACTTCGACAAATCATGTAGAATAAGACGGTTGTGTGACACATTATACGATGTTGAATTGAGAATTTTGTTCACATGAATGCCAGCTAAGATTATGCAGTATTTATGAAAAATAACTTCCCATAAATAGCGAAAGAACAAGAACCCCGAAAACATTTGAGTCGCTTGTGAAAATTGATGAAGGTCGAAAACCTTCCGACAGGATTAATCATCGTTGATCAATAAAAGAGAAAGAAACAGAGATACTTGAATAGATGTCCTTTCTGAATCTACGTGTAAGGCAAAAATGACTTTGCATTTATTGTAAAACTAATATACATAAGGAAAAAAGATATTTTTCTCGAAAAGTTTATTGATTTTCGGTTTCGCGTCGTCGCCGGACAAATTCCGCGGCTACCTTGTCCGATGTACGTATTTCCAAGATTTCAATAATACGACTTCGAATAGCTAAAACAAACCTTCCAATGATTTGCAAATAAATGTCTTTCTTGTTTTACAAACCTTTCGGGTGTGTCAAAGCAAGTTCGATCTGTCTCAATTCATCCAATGGTCGATTTTCACTATTTGATTCATTCGGAATGCCAATTACTTTGGACATGTCGAGAAAAGCTTCACCTTCGAAATCGTTTGACCACATTAAATCATGATCCATGACGGTAAAATGAATAACACCACCGGACAGATTACATTCTTTCTCAGTTAAACGACTAAAAGCAAAATTTTAACAGAGATTAACATAATCTTTTTACTTACAATTCGAATTTCTCGTTGAACAACGGATTCAACGTCTTTTTCACAATCACTGTTTGCTGTGTTTCGATATGAGGATATAAAAATTTCGGACATAATTGAACTTCCACATACGGATCACTAAAATATCGTTGACAACTTGCCATTTTCGTTAACTGAAAGATAAACCATACCTTAAACCATTCGAGTCACAAGGTTTAAGATTTTTACACGAAAGTACTACAAGAAAAACCAGATTTTATCACTGTTCTTCTGCTTAAACACACGTTTTACTTTCGACGTATAGAGTTTCTTCTTTCAAATGATAATATGCTCGACAATAAAGTTTCCCTAAATCTGTTAAATGCGCCGGCTGATTATTAATACCAGCTCGTTCTTGTTCTTGAACTTTCTCCTACAAATATAGTCGAGATTCTCCGATGAAATATGTAATAAATGATTGATTTACTTGATAGTATAACTTAATCAAAGAATGTGTATCAGTGGAATGATATTTCAGTAATTTTTTGATTAACTACGATTGAATATAAATGTGAAATAAATTTGAAAAGAACTCGTCCGAAGTTTTACTTTGTATTTATCAGTTTTCAGTGCTTCTTTTGCTAAACATTGTTCTTCAGCGTTGAAATAATCAACGATGGAATCAAGAGCTTTTGTCAAACGTACATAAGACGCAATAGATCGCTGGAATACAAATAATCCCAACATCAGTATGTTTCATAGAGAATAAACTTGAGACAAGGTGAATTTCTTACCGGTGTTGATATTTTTTCAATTTCAGATAAAAGTTGATCAATAAGAACCGACCAGATGAGTTCCAATAATCTATTGGAGATCAATTATGTGTGATTATTCAGTGTGGAAGTGAATTACCTGGTAAAATTTTGTTTGATGAGATATTCACGGTACGGTGCAGTTCGGGTGTCGAGAAACGCGAAAAGTGGCTGAACTGTTTCTTGAGACGAAACGAGTTCAGGTGCTTCGATAATGTGAAACAGATGTTGTTTCAAATCCATTTCGATATTTGTCACGACTTTGCTCAAAATTTGATAAATACGATCAGTGATTTCCTGACTGCACATAGCGACTGTTGTTTCGATTTTCTTACGATATTCATCCACAACTGTAATCGGATGGAATTTCTCTGCTGCGACTAACAATTTATCATAAGATAATTCAATCGGCAAAGTCTTAAACGACTCGCGAATTCGTTCCGTATCATTGACGGTTAAAGAAAGCTAAACAACACACATTCAATGCGAATTTTTAACTGAAAAATTTACTTCTTGAATGTAATAGGATAAATCATTGGTTTCGTAAAACTTCCTTGCGTTTAGTTTTCCTTCTACTAATGTTGCATATAAACGTGTTGCATTCGCCATATCTTCGGTAATTTTAATTAAATATGTTATTGAACTGATGATATCCGGCCAAGCTAAATCGAATCTTCTTTTATCAACAGAGAAAATGTCTGAGCGGTGTTTTTACCTAATCTTCGCCAGAATTGTGATATTTGACTGAAACAATTGGAAACATCGAGTGATGAACTTGTGAATTTGACATTGCACGTGGATGTTCCAGTGCCTTCGGCTTTGTCTTTTTCAACCGAACGTTCGATTCGATGGAGAATTTTATTTCGAGCAACGGATAACCATTTCTTTACGGCTGCACCGAAATACATATGATACTGAATGATTTTCAGATTAACTCGATCGCTAAAATGAAACATTTTGCTTCGAATAACACAAGAGAAAAGATTACGAACGTTTCATTGACGTAGATTTTGTATTTGGCTAATTCGTGAAGTGAAAGATAGAGTTCAAACAATGCTAAACTGATTTGTTCGGCTGATGAAGCAAATGTCGAAGCGTCTAAGGAATCCGGTTCCTTGTTTTCTAGTAGCTTCGCTGGAGATTGATGAATTTGATCACCGAGCTATTACAAAACGCTGTAAGATAGGTCAACTACGAAGAAAATCTCACCTCCTCTTCCAAGGCTTTGATAACAATATCCATTAGCTTCAAATTCCAACAAGAAAATTAATTCTTCGGAAAGACTCATCCTCAGCTTACCTTTCCGTCGATCTTCTTGAATGAAATGTTATAAAACGTCATTTTAGTCGTCCTAAAGCCACCAAAATCATCAAAAATAAAATCTAAATCGCAATTATAAACATACGATTCAAAGACTGGGTTGTAATATTTCACAGCCGAATAAGCTAAATGAAAGAAAAATATATTCCTGTCGAAGCAAATTACACGTCTGACGAGAACTACATGAATAGGAAACAGTATGCTTACAAGACTCAACTTACCATCCGCGATGATAACATAAACCAATTCACTTGTGTTTCTTAGAATATCTTCGTCAGACTAAAAAAACCTTCGCGATTTTTGTATTGATCTTAAAGTTCAAATTTACTCGTAATCTCGGCTTTGTTATTTGTGAAACCATTCGATCGAACCATTCGATTGTTCCTGTCTTAAGAAGGAAGAAAACATGCGTTTCTCCTCTAAATCCTCTTTTCATACTTTGATAACCGATGTCAATTCATACTGAAGATTATTTTGAAACGGACAGCAATACCGAAATACTTCCATACTGTGTAATTTAGCAATGATTCTTAAATAAAAACATTGATCGTCTATGTATTCTCCTGAAAATGTGTCTTTCAATTACGTTAAGAGCTGTTCCAATCGTTCAATGGCGATTTTATTATTCGCTGGAAATAATTCTCGAATTCTCGTCAATTGTTTGAAACAATGATTGAGAAACAAGGTAAACGCTTCGGTTAGCATATCAGTTTCATCTCGAGTCAATGCTGTTGACTTCCATGTTCGTTCTAATTGTTCCGTAACAGAGAGTAATAATTTATTCGTCAACGGACGTTGCAAATGTTTCTTTGAATACGCGATCCAACGACACATCGACCGCTGAGTATCGGTAATATCGCCTTGGATCGCATGTTGATGCAAAATTGTTTCAGCATCACGCGATAGTTCGCCAGTCCAATGATTTTTCTCTCCCTAAAAATTATATTTTATTTAAAGCAAGTAATTATCTATTGAACGGATGTTATTTGTCGAGAAAACAAACTAATTCAGACCTTGAATTTGTTTAATTCATGTTCGATAAATATTTGTAAAAGTTCAACATGTTGTTTAATATCTGTCCAATTATCTTCTTCGGGGATTCCTCGGTCTTCTCGGGTTGTTAATTTCGCTCGAATGTGAATTTGACCACGAACTTTCGAGTTTTCACTCCGGCCTTCCAAGGAAAACCATTTGTCGATGCCAATTGACGGAATTTCCTAAAAGACAAACAAATGTGTTCACGAGTAAGCGTTCACGACGACCTACGCTGATTTTCAAGTTCACAGAACCCAAGAAATCGTCTATATGGGAACCTTCGGTCGAACAATTCGTTCGTGCAGATTGAGCAATTTGTTTGAAATATCGATTGAGTCCTTTAAAACCTTGCACTTCATTCAATTTCTTTGCCGCTTCAAACACGGAGAATTCATCATCGTGATCCCAAATATCCAAATGAAATGTTTCAGTTTTTCCACTTTCGATATCGCTTTTCAAAAAAAAGAAAAGAAAAAACGTAAATAAGAAGTTTCGAAAGAAAAGCTTCACGTACAAACGAAATTTCTCCATCCAAACTGGATTTAGCGTCGCTTTCTTCACATCAGTCGTTTGAATATATTTCGCTGGAAGTTTATCTTTTAGAACATTATGCGGACTCGAGCCCGTTGTCGACGTTGTTTTCTCCCGACCTTGTGCTCGACGAATTGTGGATTTGCGAAAACTTTTCAAACGCTTCATAAAACCAAGTTTGTGGTCATTAGGAGAGTTTGCATTCGCTCCTTCTTCATCCGATGATACGCCACTTGTGCCTTGCTGTGGTATCACAAACTTACGGATTTCCGGAACGATGCCCAACATACAATATGGATCAGAAAATCCTACGGAGAATCGAATTCGAGATAAAAGAAAAACACTAAAATTGGTTATACCGTTTGTATCTTTGGCCTCTAAGTCTTTCGCTTCGACTATTTCAACATTTAAAATCAATATAGGTGGCTAGAAGAGAAAAAACACGATCATTAATATTGCAAATCTCAAATAGGGAAACAAACTTTTTCTTCATTTGCTTTGGCTAATAAACGTTGATGATCTTCATTTGATAATCCAAATGCTTCTTGAGCATATGCGTACAAATCGTTCTCTCCTCCACTGTGCTTCGATGTCGTTGTACCAATTTTGTGTTTGATGGTATATAAAGTTTCGATATAAAGTAATTCAAATTCACTTTGTGTTAAACCTTTCGGTCGTTCACCAAATGTTAAGCGAAATTCCAGAGGACTTTTCTCGACCTCAATTTCTCCCTGAACAAAAAGTCAACAGATGTATGCGCACAACATCAATCGGTTACCTTACCTCTTTTTTGATCTTCTGTCGTCGTTGTTCATGTTTCTGTGCAACTGCTTCGAAGTTTTCCAAAAATGAATGAACACCTTCATTCTCAAACCTGCACAGAAACGAAAAAACGATGTAAAGAACGTATTCACTTTTCGTTCTTTATTGCAAAACTATCTACCTCTTCGAGAGCGCAGCAGAAAATTTTGATTCTTGTTGAGGCGATAAGAGCATTATAAACTTTGTTTATACTTATATTTTATGCGTCGTAACAAGTCAATACAAGAACATATAAGAAGGAGGAATTTTCTTTTAGTCTACGTTTTTCTCTCTCTCTCTCTCTATCATTCGTCATTCTCCTCCCTCTCTCTCTCTCTCTCTCTCTCTCTTCCATTTCGAAGTATCATAATATATATATGTAGTTTTTGCTTGATTACTATTGAAGCAAAGAACGACGAAGAGAAAAATATATATCTCAATAGCAGAATGAGAACACTTTTGCAAATGAAGAGTGCATAACAAAGAGAAAGAGAACATCAAACATAGTGGATTGTCATGATCCTTTTTATTAAATACAATGTTGATTATCATGCAGATTCGATGTTTTTCCGAGAGAATTTATTGGCTATTTTCTGTTGAATTCGTCAAACAAGTTTGACGATATCATTTTAATATTTCCCACGTATAAGAATCACACATAGCCCACTAGATTTAATAAAGCTTTCAAGTGTGCGTGTGTTTTAGTAACGCCTTTAAGCAATTATATATATTTAAAGAAGTAATTATAATGTGATAGTTAATCTTAATTCCACTGAAGAAGAAAAAAGATGATGAGGACGTTGACGAACAACCAATGTGAAAGTCTGCTACTAAGTCTATCTGAAGATCAGACCATGATGTTTTTCTCTTCTTCTTTCTCTCTCTTTTGATTTCCGCGTGGCGACAGAAAAGTATTTCTACCCGCCTTGTTCACTCGT